GTCAAAGCCTGTTGCAGTCGCTAGCCTCTCATTGTACACCCCTCGGAAATGGTCCACGTCAATTCTACCACTTGGCTTGTCTCAGGGAAGTGTCCACCACAGGTGACATCAATGAGGCCTTGGAGACCATCTCCCACTATGCAGATCTGTGTCATTCCTCTCTTGGTCTACAACAATGGCCAGCAAAGGGACTGTGTAATGATCAGGCATATAACTTACGACCTGGGACACAGTGTGGCAATGGGTGTCTTTTTGGTTCCAAGAAAGCAGATCAGTGCACATGTTATCCTGGTTACTTTGGTCAAGACTGCTCCTTTGCCTGTCCTGGAGGGTCAGACAATGCCTGCTATGGACATGGTGTATGTCAAGAAACTGGATCTTGTGTCTGTGAAGAGAACTGGAGAGGGCTGCCAGACTGTAGCTCCTGCACTGATGGCTGGAATGGAACTGACTGCACCATTGCTATAATGCCTTTGATAAGTTCCACCACTTCTGGAGTAGCCACAGTCACAGCAGCATCCTACTACACAAACTTTAATGGTCTTGTGTTTACCTTCCCCCGCACTAGGCGAATTTCATCTAATTCAGTCAAACAGAGTTGGTGAGATCTTCAACCTACAGGTGTACCAAACTCCATGCTTCTCAGGCTCAACCTGTGCAAGTGCACTTGGCCTCCAAATCAACGAGGCAACCTTGGCCATCATTGGTTCCATCACTAGCAATGGAAGTACAAACATCTATATCAATAGACAACCAACACCTGTCCTAACGAACCCTGTTCAAATTGGCTATCAGTGGTGGATCAAAAGCCCTTCAACATATCTATACATTATAGAAGGGCCACTAATGGAAATCCAACTCCGAACCATAGGCCAACATGTCCAAATCTCCATAAAGGCAGATGTCTCAATGTGACAGGCATTTCACAGGGCTGCTTTGGCGGCTGCACATCACAGGAGATTCATCCATCCATGACCATTGACGAAGTAACCCAAGAGTTCATCAATGGAGAGCTGTCAGAAACTTGGAGGGTTACACCTGAAGAGTCTCTGATCCTCCACAACAACTATACATTACCAATATTGTCTGGTGGAGAATACTGCTTGTCCTTTAACAATGCAGGTAGTCTCACTCAGCCGATTTATGGAGTGTTTGCAAGGAACTCAAGCACTGGAAGTGTATCCGAAGTCATAGTTGATTTCATGATCAAACCTGCTACATATGGAGGGACAATCCTTGCCTATGCTCATCATAACACCTTTGCAATCACTAATGACTGCCCAATGAGAATTTTCTTTGGAAAGACAGTTGTTGAAACACAAACCTGCAATGAGATAGACTTGTGGAATCAGGTTAGATTTATCATCAAATTTAACAAGCAAGTCACTGAACTCTACCACTGGAAGGCTACTGGACATGCCTCGAGAGAGGAGATTGTCAACCCTGACTTTTCACTGTTTGTAGATGGCGGCATTTTGTCCCTTGGGCAGTGGCAGCCATCACCTGAAGCAAGTGATAAGTTTCCAAACACCAGCTTCAATGGACTCATAGAAGAGTTTAGGATCTGGAAACAACACTTTCATCCTTCAACAATCAAGGAGACCACTAGGCTCAACCCTGTTGCCCATGCATTCTCAGGTGCATTGTCTGCTCTGTACAAGTTTAATGAGGGAAGTGGTGACATAACCCATGATCCCATACACAGAAACCACATCAACCTACCAAATCCACCATGGCCACGACCACAGTGGACATTCTCAGATGCTGAACTTCCTGTTCTTCGAATGTCTGACACCCTTCCCTCCAAGAGTATGTTTGTTGACAAATCATTGGAAACAGAAAGCAAAAACAATACTGCTCAGTGCTTTACTGTCAAATACTATCCTTCAACACTGTCAGAGCTTGGGAGACAGTTCATCACAGCTCTTCTATCTAGCATGCCTGCAGGATGTGTCAGTCACTAGTGATATCACAGCAGCATTTGGTCCAGTAGTTGCCTTTGCTGAATACTGTGATCAGATCCTCAATACTGGAGGGACAGTTGTCCAAAGCCTTTGTATCCTTGCTCAGAATTACACCACACCAAACTGGTTTGAAAGCACTTGTACTGACTGTGCTTTTGGTACAAACATGAATGGAGATTGCCAATGCCAAGATGGCTTCTGGGGTACAAACTGCACCAAGGAGTGTCCTGGTGGTGGTTTGACACCTTGTAACAACCATGGAGTTTGCAACAACGATGGAACATGTGCTTGTGAGCTGAACTGGTCTGGACACAATGACTGTGGCACTTGCTCAGATGGCTGGATCGGGAGTGACTGCTCTGTAGTCATATCAACTACGTCCAGCACATCTCAGTTGATTCTTCATGGGCAACTCCTCAGCTTCGGTACATTTACCTTCTTTGATAGCGTTACCATTTTCGGACATCAAGAGGGTGCCTACCTTCTCCTCAGTCACACACATTTCCACTTCTCTTTGACCATTCGTGAAGTCATGTGTGTTGAAGTATCAGGAAGCATGTCATGCTTTGACAGCATTTACGTCACATATGGAGGAACTGAAGTTATAATACTGGCATCCCTACTCACCACTGATGGCAGCATAGGCCACATCATTGTAAACCACCAAACACAACCAGTGGATCATGTGATGGCTATTGCTGACAACTTCCAGATCAGTCGTGAAGATGGAACAACCTACCTACTGTCATTCAGTGACATTGATGTACATGTGTCGCTTGTTGTCCTGAGCAGTCATCTCCATGTGAGTTTGACCGTACCAGCAGCATTCTGCCGTGATTCATCGGGCATGTTTGGAAACTGTGGGGATTCCACCCTTGATAAGATACTGGCCGTATCATGTTTGAATGAACCTGCCACCTGCACTCCACATATATCCCAATCAGCTGTGGACGCATTCCTTGCCACATATGAAGTGCCTTTCTATGTCAATGTTACTGATGCCGAACATCTTGTCCCTGTTACCACAGCAGGCTACTGTTTATACTTCGAGGACAGCATCATAACCTCCAGGCCTCTCCATCAATTTCCCACAACAACTTTCACATTTGAAATGCTGATCAAGCCTGTCTCGTATGGTGGGACCATCCTATCCTACACAACATCTCAAGTGTTTGCCATTCTCAACATTGCAACAGGAATTGAAATATACAGTGGTGAAACAGTACACACCACAAACCTTGTGCTGGAACTTGGAGTATGGAACCAAATTGCCCTTGTGTGGCGCCCTGAATTGAACTTGCTCGAGTTCTATCTTTTCAATGCAGAAGGCCAAGTGAGTATCAATGCATTCTATCTAAATACTGGTGTCTTCAATGGAGGTGGTATCCTTGCCTTTGGTCAATGGTATGCCAGTGGCCTGGACACAGTACCTGATGCAGCCATCTCTGTATTTGTCGGAATGATTGATGAGATCCGCATATGGGAGGGACCAGTCAATCCATCCATCGTTGCAGCAAACTGGGGAGTGAACGTGAGGCCAGGATCCCCAGACCTTGCCATGCTGTGGTCTCTTAATGAAGGTAAAGGTGAAATTGCCGGAGAGTCAGAGAGTGAGCAGCATCTGTATTTCCCTACTCATAATCACCCCACCTGGGTTGTTTCTGATGCTCCCGTCTCAGGGGAACAGGATTCTCCAAGTCTTGCTCTAGATCCATCAATTGCAGATGCCAGCAACTCCTCTTCTAATGGTACTTCTCCAGAAGATGCTGCTGAGACATGTAGGGAGCTGATCTTCTCCAAACCATTGAAGCGAGAGTGCTCTGTGCTCACTAACAGCACGTTTGACACCTTTTACCAGCTGTGCGTCATGGAAGTAGCTCTAACTGGAGACAATGAAGTTGCAAAGACTGTTGCTGAAGCACTGATTGCCTACTGTGACCAACTTCTGGAAGGGACAAGTATTCCTGACAACATACTCTGTGGTGACACCTGCCCTGCAGACTGTGTGTTTGGGGAGCTACAAACACATCCATCCATGTGCCAGTGTTTCCATGGTTACTGGGGTACAGACTGCTCACATCCATGTCCAGGAGAAATCAGCAACACTTGTGGCAATCATGGAACATGCAACGTCAACAGGGAGAATGTGTTTGTGAAGAAGGATGGGATGACAGCAGTGCATGCATGCAATGTGAAGTTGGACTGCTTGGCTCAGACTGCAGTGTTGCACAGCTCAACACAACAATAACTCCAGTAAGTCAACAGAGCAGCAGTATCACCATTGGAGTTTTCACCATTTTTGGTTACTTCCATGTTACAACCTTTGACGGAGCTGCATTTGAGCTCATGACAGCGGGTGCCTACTCTGCATACATATTCAATGGATTGTCTGTGCAGTTGTATACAACACCATTCCCGGACATGTGGCACGTGCAGGTCATTACTGAAATATCAATAAACTATGGCAGTCTCACCATCTCAGCCTCATTGTCATCCATTACCAGTAGCCAAATTGTGGTGCAGAAGAATGATGGAGGGGGATGGCAGAGTGTAGTTGTTGGCACAACATTTACCCACCAAAGTGTCACAGTAGAATGGATCAGCACCGACATTGTGGAAGTAACATACCAGTCAACTACTGTTTACATTGTGATGATTGCTGACATTCTGTCTCTGGGTATCCTGGCACCAAAAGATGAACTTGCCAGTGGCTTGTGTGGTCCATTTGATGGGAATATGATCAATGACCTGTCTGACCTGCTGATGGATCCTGCTGATGTGGCAGAATTTTTGGATAGCGGTCTCTCACAGCCATACTTGGAGGGAACTCTAGGTCCTGCACACAAGGTTGATACACCAGACAACCATCTACACTTGGTGCAAACTACACCTAGTCTAACCACTGGTTATCTCCTACATATTGACAGCAACCATGTCTACATCGAGAACATTGGGGTTATTGTTCTCCACCAGCTGACAGTTGGCGTGTGGGTCAAACTGGATGTGACCACAGCCACACAAACCATCTATGTGATCAGCACACAAAGGGGGGAGATTGCTCTGCTTGTTGTCAGTGGCCACCTGGAGATCCTTTGGCAAGGCCAGACATTCACAACAACACTTCAGATGACAGCAAGCATCTGGACATACCTCTGTGTCACCTGGAGAGAGTTTGATGGACGACTGGAGCTGTTGCAGTTCCATGGAGACGATGAGTACAGCTTCACCCACACGGTTGGAACTGTGGGGCAACTGACACTCAGTGGTAGTGTAACCATCGGACAGTATGTTGTTGCAGGTGTCACAACACCAGGAAGAGATTATGTGGGAGATGTGGACAATCTTATGGTTTGGTCTTATGTCCTTCATCAAGAGGAAATCACAGAGGTTCGTACCACATGTCCAGTGGAGGAGATGCCTGGTCGTGTGCTGAGTCTAACGATGGATCAGGGACATGGTCAAGAGTTTTCTGTTGACATTAACACACCATCAACAAACTCTTCTAGAACCCGGACCAGATCCCGCGTGCTTTTAGTTCCTGCTGATTCGCCACCAGAATGGAGACCTTCTGATGTTCCTGTGGACTGTGATCCTGCTGACAACCCTCCCAACAGTAACAACACCATCCAAGATGAGGCAGTGAATATTTGTGATGACCTTTTCTACACTGGCATACTTGCAACTTACTGCCAAGATCTGACAGCTGCCACGATGTTCTACCACCAGGCCTGTGTGCGTGATGTGTCTATTAGTGGGGACATTGGACATACAAATGTGTCTGTGAATATGTTTGCTCTCCACTGCAAGACCGTACTTAACGTGGATGAATGCAAATTGGAGAACTACTTCAACTTCTGTAGAGAAGAGGCTGATTGGGAGTTCCCACTGTGGGCCATCATACTCATTGTCATCATCGTCTGTCTGATTGTCTTCATCTGCTGCTGCCTGTGCATCATCATTTGTGTAAGTTCTTACCTTTGTTTTATCAAAATATCCTTTATGGAAGGTAAGGTGCTGATAACATGATAATTATTACTAATAGTCAATTGTGTGGCAGATGGTGAAGTTCTGTTAATTGCAAGCTGGCTCTTGTAGGTGCAAACTGTCCTCAATGTAGTACATCTCCCTTGATACAAGACATTTTCTGGAACTTCTTTTGTATTTCAATGCAGGTTAAGAAGAAGAACAAGAAAAGGAAAGTAGATATGTCTGTAGCTGACCTGCAGCTGGCTTATGTCATGAACCCTACATTTGAGGAGCTTGAATGGGATGAAGCTGACACTCGACACTCGAAAACAGCAGTGGACACCATGGGAGTTGCACCGCTGCTAAGGCTGCTCCCAGACCCTCTGCGGCAGAGCTGGGTGGGAGAGGAGGGAGAACCAAGGTTTGGAGAAGAACCAGAGGAAGATGGCAGCACATCCAAGATGGGAAGTAGGGTAAGGAGATGTGTACTGCTGCATGCAGTCTATCATCTATAAGTTCTCAAATCATTAAATCAAAACCATGTACATCGTTGAAGAGATTCATGTACCATGTACAGTTTTCATTATTTCAATGATAATTCACCACTTAGTTCTAGATGGCCGTTATTCCAAATATTGATTATTATAACTTGAGACTCAAGTTATAAGTTGAGTGCTTAACGTTACATGTTTTGTATGAAGTGGATTTTGTACAGCCTATACTCACCAATCAACTGATTCCCCACTGCCTTGTGATTAGGTGACTCTCACAGATGGTGCCTGTGGTACTGTCGAACCACTTGCATCAAGTAATGGGCAAGTACCCAAGAAAAAGAAGCAAAGAAAGAGGAAAAATGAAGTGGAGGAGCTTTGCCTGCCAGAACCAAAGGAGCAGCCAAGTGGGAAAGTTGTCCTTCCTCCACTTAAGGTGAAAACTTTTAAATGGTTATAATGGATAAGTCATCTAATGAGACATGTACTTGTATCAGATACATTGTATGCCAAACCACTAAGCATCCTTTGAAACAATATGTCATGTACTCTTTATGCATGCAGTCTATCGTCTTCAAACTTGCTCTCGTCTTAGTTAAAATTAGATCTTTAGGTGTTTTATTTTTTTATGACAGGGTATGGAAAGACCTGGAGAAGGGGATGATGTCTTTACAAGCATGAGTGGACAAACTTTGCGAACCGACTCCGCTGCTTCTCTTCTGTTGCGGGACAGCCCACGTCAGCTCCTTCCCAGTCAGCAGCCACCTCTGGGGAAACCTCCTGTTATGTTTGAAGAGACTAACAGAGACAGTGAGGTTGGAGCTAATTTTATGTGTACTGGAATATGACAAGAAACAATTTGCAACAGTTTTACTATTTCCTTCACGGATGTCCTACCTGCTAGCACAACTGTACTATCGTGTATTGATGTTTTTTGTGCAATATATGATTGTTTGATTGGCCAAGTGGTTATGGATAGTGGCAAGTATTTTCATAATTATGTACTTTTGGTCTATTGTCATCCTATACTATCATTCTAACATCATTTCATTACAGTGTGCTCCATCACCGTTTGCACTGCCTCCAAGACTGCCAGCCCCTGAGGAACCAACAAAATCATCAACCAACCTGTCTGATGGTAAAGTTTAGACTTTCAACTTCTCTGTAGTTGACCTTTTGGTATATGTACACGTATTAAGATAGATTTGCTAAAACTCTGCTCAAAGTCTAGCTATCTGTTCTGAATATTGTGATTACTTAGCACAAACATGCTTAAGGGTATACTGTTAGAATATTAAATTATATTATGATGAAAGATGTTGCAATTTTATTTTTTGTTATGTGATGATGATTTTTAATAGACAAACTATGGTACAAATCACAATTTTTTCCTTCATGCTTCCGTATGTATATTTCTGATCCAGATCATGCTGTTTTTTGCAGAAGAGACCATCTCCAGCCCCACGAGTAAAGATGGCCCCCAGGATGCCCCTCCTGTGAGACCAAGGAGACGACGGTATAAGAAGAAAGAGAAGAGGGAGTCTCCTCGGGAACCTCCAGTCCAAACAAGCAAGCCTGAAGAGACAAATAATTTCAACAAAACTGAAGCAGGAGGAATCGATTTCCCAGAGGAGCTTCCAGAGATATGGAAAGTGGTCCTAAGATGCCATGGAAACGGCCAACATCACCCACAGCACGGCCAGAAACTCCCAACAGTCGACCTTCAAGTGCGACATCGAGACCCAGGTCCGCAAGAAAGGTGGCACCAGAAACAACTGTGCCTGCTGAAAGTGAGAGGACCTCCCGTCAGCTTCCTTCACCACCTCCAGAATTCACTTTCAGCTCCAGACCACCGCAACCGGCAAAGATGGTAACAGCATGGGATATGTCGTCAGACCAGGTAAAACAGGTGTACATGTCCATCCAACCAGTCTGAACAAAGTGTCAATATGTAACAATATATCTTGATAAAGTTGTGTAGGCAGAAGGAAAGTACTATCTATTTTGTGTTTTACTGTAAAAGGTTTATGCTGTAAAATATATATGTTCCTGAAACATAAGTTTGATGAGTACCATGATGAATTTGTTTTTGCTACAGCCGGACATAGAGATGAAAAACTTCGAAGCAGTCCCTGAGCATACCCTCCCACCTCTGAGAGAGCCACCTCTGCCTGAGAGGGGAATGTCCTCTCTATCATCCACAAAGAAGCCATCCAGGAGGACAACCTACAGTGGCCCAGTGTTACCACCAGATCCTCAACTGTTTGGGGCTATACCTGAAAACAACTCTGAGTCTAGAAGGCTGACTATTGTCAGTGGAACTTGTGCTCCAATATCAGATGATGATGATGATGAGGAGGAGGAAATTGTAAGTTGGGAGCTTTTTGCATGATTGTATAATTGGTTGAGAAAAGTATGTGCATGTATTACACACTACATTATACTGTATGTATTAAATATTCCCAGCCTAGCAATTAACATATTACAAGGTTATCACAATGTGTACTGTGTATATTGTGATATGTGGTCTGGAAGAGTTATCCTGCAATAATGCTGTTATCATTGACATGCAGTAAATTGATTAGTAATACATGTATATCAATTACTAGTATCCAGTATCAAATTATGTTTTATGTAAGCAAGTTACATTACCTGTCTGTGCATTGTAATGTCATGTTGCAGTGACCAGAAACCCACTTATGAATGTGAGTCATTGTCACATACTGCATCTTTGTGCAGATCATACCAGTTCCCAAAGAACAGACCCCTGAAGAAAAAGCCAGAGCAGTGGAGGTAACAACCAGGGAGATGTCACGGAAGAATGAGGTAAATCTGTTTTTTTTTATGTTCAAGTAGCACCATTTTATGTCAGTTTCAATCTAATTATTTTGCTTGAGATGCTACATTTTTGTACACTACATTCCATTAAATGTCCCTGTTGAAGTACATGTGTAGATAAGATGTATTTCTTGTTTATCAAGTTCCTGAAGATAGTTCACTTTAGTCCCTGGGTAGGTAGTTTGACAGTAGAATTCTGTGTCTGCCTTTTCACATTCTTTTGGTTTCTGATTGGAATAGGTTCGCAAGAATGCCCGCATGCTAGAAGATCGCAGCTCAGCATGGAAGAGCATCTTACTACCTCTGGACAGTGACGAGGAACTTGTCTAAAAACTAGCAAAACAGGGATCTTGTGAAACTTAAAAAAGAAATGAGTGGGAATTTGTAAGAACAATGGCTACCAATTCATGAGACGTTTTTATTTAAAAGTTAGCCAAACAACAAATGTTTAAAACAATGATTAAGAATATAGACCATTTATCTGTCTTACATACTAAATAAAGTTGATTTAATTATTTGATACTAGAGTGAAGTGTGCTTTGTTTTAAGTGACATGTATGTTAGAAACTTAAGTTTTCACAGTAATAGTTTGTGTTTACAATTACAAAGACAGCACATAGTGCATTTGCTTTTGTTGCATTCATAGAATGGTCTAGCAGTTGCATTGAAGAATTTGGTTGCTGTTTTATGCACTTTTGCATTTAAAGACTGGTCTCAAGCAGTATAGAATTCAATGTACCTTTGTGTACTAAATTGATTTCTAATGATTCATCATAATTTTTAACTGATTGATCATAATTCAATGATTGATACTAGTGTACAAGTAAACATTGAATGAACAACATTTTAGAAAGCTTGAATATAACATGGCTAAATGATAAAAGTATGGTTCAATATTTAGCTGTGTGTTTCTGTATCTTTATGATTTTTTATACAATCATTGATGCTTACATACTTAACACTCCTTAGGATACACATATTATGAAATACCACAAAATCTCTTTCAAAATGTATTTTAAACAACCAAAATCGAAATGAAGATGCCTTTGGTTCATCTATCAGTTATTGAAGGAATAAATATCTACCATACTATAGTATTGTGAATTTGTGTGTGGACTGTGTTTATGTGCTGTGTTCAGCGCCAAGGACAGGTGTGTTTGTGTGTATATGGTGTTCAGCACCAAGGACAAGTATGTTTGTGGGTGTACAGTATCCAAGGACATTTGTGTAGTGGATGGTAGTCAGCACCAGGGACAGATGTGTTTGTGTGCAGATGGTGTTCAGCACCAAGGACAGATGTGTTTGTGTGTGGATGGTGTTCAGCACCAAGGACAGATGTGTTTGTGTGCGGATGGTGTTCAGCACCAAGGACAGATGTGTTTGTGTGTGGATGGTGTTCAGCACCAAGGACAGATGTGTTTGTGTGCGGATGGTGTTCAGCACCAAGGACAGATGCGTTTGTGTGCAGATGGTCTTCAGCACCAAGGACAGATGTGTTTGTGTGTGGATGGTGTTCATCATCAAGGGCAGATGTGTTTGTGTGTGGATGGTGTTCATCATCAAGGGCGTGTATAACTTTTGCTTGGTTTGAATCGTAGCGTACGTTGGCTTATGTAGTTTATTCTGGATGGAAAAACATATGATCATACCCGCAACTTTCATCTAGATTCAAGAACAATGATACAGGATTTATTGTTTATCATGATAAACTGTTCTGGGTGGTCAGATATTTTATAACCTTTGCCATCACTCTTTCTTCTTTTTGTGTCCACATCAATTTTGATGTATCCAAATGATGTCATCAAGTCAGTGTGGCCTAATACAAGATGAAGAAACTTTTACATAAAAACAGAGTATGTTCTGGCACAGTCCGTGATAGTTAAATCTAGACTTGCATCTATCTTTCCTAGCTTCATGTCTGCAGCACAAATACAGTTTTAATTCTCCTGAGAAAGTTAAACAGACAGTCTTCTGACGTCTGCAGGTGCCAAGCAGATGACACAATAATTACCCTCATCATTTGCCCAGCACGCATCTACTGCAAAGCCGCTCCTCTCCGCTAAGCGGCGCAGCTGCTTCAGGTTCCACTTGCAGCTGGTGTTCGGTCCGTCGTAGAAATAGATTCTTTCGCCATCTTGAAAGTCAACGTCGAGGCCAAGTTTTCCTGAACCGGGGGAAACAGTGGCTTAAAGAATACAGATCTGCAAAATCGTATTGTTAGCTGTGGTGCAGAAACTGTAGTTTGAATGTACACTTTGATATTTTACCCTTAATCCATACAAATTGAAACATGATTCTAGAACATAACCACTGAAAAGCCTTGCGGGTGAGTCATGGACTAATTAATAAGTAAGGTTGCTCACCAAAGTGCACCCGTTGTTTGCCGGAGCTGCTGAGGGACAACTGAACATAACTTGGTGTGTCCCCATCTGCAGGGTTCTCCACAAATTCGAAGTTGTACTTGAACATCTCATGGTTCATATCTCCCCCAAAGTCCTGGATATGGGATGGATGAAACAGGAAAAGAATTGCGACCAAAATTGAAAAAAATGGTTGAACAATAAAACAATGCCTATAGCCAACATCCTCCCGTTTTGACTGCACTGTCAACAGTATAACCACTGTCTACTGGTCTCAACATACCTGTGCCTTATTTGTGCGAGTATCAACAACAGTAACGATAACCTTATTCAAACGGTATCAACATGAATTCGATCTTATTTAGACAGATTGTAGTACGACTGTAAACCTGCCCAGTCATATATCATCACGTCGACATTTGTCATCTTATATACACTCAGATAAATACCAAGGTGCCCCTTACCTTATTAAGACGTGAGATCAGGTTGTCTCGCCATATTGGAATCCACTGCTCGCCGTAAGCCTCAGACAAAGTTTCTCGGTCTGTGTTCATGTCGACCCCACACACGAATCTGTCCTGTTCTACATAAACAGTGGTGCAGGGCATTAAGCCTATACTTGTCTGACCAACAGGAACAGAACTCAGAAATACACAAGAAAACTGCAAAGATAATTGTAGGCTAAAAAGTAGGCATTAGAGAAGTGGGTAAGGATTGTTTGAAAATTGTGAGAGAAGGTGCTGCTCTGACATCTTGTGGTAGTGAGTTCCAGACAAGCGAACCAGAGTAGGCTAGGGACCGCCTATAAACCTCTCTCAAGGACATTGGTACCACTAGAAGATCGGAAGTACTTCGTTCAGTGCTCCTGATATCTCTGTCCCTGCAGCTATCTGTTGCTATCCAAGTCCAGTTCATGTCCTACATTCCAAATTTGTTTGGGAGTAACGTTACATGTATGTGATATTCTTTCTAGATCTTTTTCTCTTGGAAACAGACTATCTTTGGCTGTGTATTTCGTTACCTTCAGTTAGGGAAATTGATCATGAGGAACAAAATTCAATAACCTATCTCTTTGTATGAATGGAGCTAAGAGGGGCACATATATCTGTATAGAAACACTTGACGAAAGGGTTTCCTGGGTCTAACTTTTAGTTAACTTGGTCGTAATCAACTGAAAAATTGCATTAACCAAGTTATTAATGGCATTGTGAATGATGAGGTGAGCAAAGTGTAGCTAGTAGGTAATAAATCGTGAATCTTCCCATCTTCTCCAATGTTAGAAAGTGTCACTGATGTAGCTGAAACTTCATGATGAGTACTTTCCTTGAGATACAAAAAAAAAAAAAACAGTTGTACAATGTAACTACTGCGCCCTGTGTAACTACATAGTACTAGTAGGCACTCTACCATCCAAATCCATACCCATACCAACTTTAACTGCCTACATACCACTAAGCTGTGCCCGGATGTCCTGAAGCATCTTCAGCTGCTCATAGATAGAGACATCACCAATGCTGGAGCCCAGGACAG